CAAGATGCGAGGAGGTTGGGGAGTCAAGAGGCATGAGAAAGAAACATGGAATAGTTCGGGTATATGGGGGAACCAGGGGTTGAAAAAGTTATGGAAGTTTGAGGAACTACCTGTTTGTATTTACCTGTTTTCGGGATAACATTTTGATTGTCTTTCTACCTTGCAATACAAATATCCTGGCATTAACATTTTAACATACTTTCCAATTAGGTATTTTTTGTTTAAATCTTGAAAATAAAACCCCACCATATAATGCAGTCAAAATGGTCTTTTGTAAAGATAATTCCACTTCATTATTCACCAGCAATGTTCTCCTCTGACTTACCAATTGTAGTTTTCTTTCGCGAATGTTGTTGCTTATCCATGAATGTTTTTTTTTCCAACTACCAGATGAATTTGCATTCTAATCATATTTTTACCTGTCTTCTCAGATAGAATGCTTTTCTATTGGATTTAGAGAAAATGTTAATTAACACATTAGGAATGTATTTGGTCTATGTGGTTGCAAATGCAAACAGTCTAATCCTCTCCTCATTAGAACCCTTTGTCTGAGTCATTCAAGTGAGTAACAAGTTGCATGGAGACATCACCAAAATGATTCTGTTATCCTAAAAGTACTCCTTCTGTTTTTCCGGGAAGATTTATGTATTATGAATTACTCAAATTACAGTTTCATTTTATCACCATGGTAACTACTATGGCAACACTTGAAAGGATCACCATGTTAATTACTGAATAGAGATTCTGGCCAAGTTTTCTCTACTAAACTTGGCAGAGAACGTCAATAGAAATCAATCATCAGTGGAGATTTTGTGTTTTAAAGTTTTATATTGATGTTGTAAGAGCACCAATGAAGAAAGTGAAGAACATTTATGTACCTGAGCCCTCAGTTTTCTGTTTTGGATCCCAGGCTCTTTCTCCTTAAGATTGATGGTAATCTCTGCTTAAGGAGCTTATTCGTTGCTACTGGAGTTCATATAGGTAGAGACATTACATGCTAAGTGTACTGTATTATCTCAGTGTTTCTGATAGTTCTATGGGATAAGTAAAATTGTTTTTACTTTTCAAAATAAATTTATCCAGCACCCCCCCCCCCCATTAAAAAGCACTGACTGTGTACTTTAAGCCATGTGGGTAAAAATGTATAAGTCAAAAATGTATAAACAAAATCCATCTCATTCTAAAGTTCATACTTTCTATACTTCAAGGACACTACTTTTATCTCTTACCTGTCATTCCCATCTAGCTCTTGCCTGACAACAAGTGTTAGAAGTAAGAAAAGAGGAAGGGAGAAATTGGTATGCGTAGATAAGCCGAACATCCCATGCTCCCATTCAGAGGATATCAGCACCTACTCCACAGAAGGAAGAATAGATTTTTATAATGTTAACAAATTATGGGAAATATAATTTTCTAAAATAATGTTTTTCTCCACCATTCACAGAGGGGAAAGTCTGCTCAAATATAATGGCATCCACAGTTAAAATATCAACAGAAATGCACCTCACAGAGCTCATTTCTCCCTAATAAAAATGACTAAGAAACAGCTTTTCCTTTCTGAGATTCATATCGACAGGCAGTGAGGGCATTGAGATTACAGTTTAAACCAGGAACTCAAAATGAACAGCTCAATATAATTTTTCATTTTATATCTGCTTGTCATGAAGTAGTGCCCAGAGAAAAAGAACGAAGACACTCCTGTGACACTTGCCTTAATTTTTCTACATGTCATTAAATAGAAAATATGTTAGGAGCCTAGATTCTGTGCTGTGTAGGAACAAGCACTTCCTGCCTTCATAGATCTGGCAATCCAGTGATGGAGACTCACTAGCAAATGACCAGGTGATCCTTCCATGAATGTAACATCACAAGTGTCAGGGTAAAGTACGTTGTGCAGTGAGGACTTACACGGGAGCCTGCTATAGACGAGGGACTCAGGGAGCCTGCCTACTGAAGTGGAGTGTAAATAGAAATTCAAACCACTTCTCTTCTCTTAATCTCTAATTCTCTCAATTTCTGATTGTGTTGACCTCTACAAACGGCTCAACAATCCGTTGGCCAAAAATGAGAGCACATGAAAACTAATTTTTTTTTCTTACTAACTCATAATTCTTTAAATTCACTTTCTCCTTGTCAGTATCACCTATCAATATCTTTATCAAAACCAAATGAACAACATCCCAAATTAGCTTTTCAGTTGGTTTCAGTTCTTGCCCTCCCCTGAAACTGGTCAATCATAATTCCTTTTTCCACAATGCAGCAAAAGTTACCAAAAATACAACTCTAGTGCTGCCTTGCTTCTACAGTAAATCCCTCAGGACTCTTGTGTTGCCGTTAGGATGCATTACCAACACTTTAACAAGGATTGAAAGAACCTTTCTCTGCCTTTTCCCTCTTTAACCTTTCCAATTCCATTCAAATCCTGAAATAAGTCGCCTTCTTTCTTCTAGCCTATCCATCTCTCTAGAACACTGTTCTTCCATCCTTCTAACTCTCTTCCCTATGTCTGAATAGCCTCTACTAACCTTCTGGGGTCTTAGGCTTTCCAGTGTCACTTTTGTTATGTAAACCCGATGTCCTAAAAGTGAACGGTACAGCGTCCATCGCACTGGATCACAACTGCCATCTCTCATTAACATTCACTTCCTAAATTGTGACTTGTCTTAAGGCAGAAGACATATCTTCTTGTGCACCTCACTGTGGCCCCAACACTTATCCTGTTCCAGCTGCATGATAATTGCTCACAATATATTTGCTGGAAGAATAGAAAGAACGTATGGAGAAAAGAAGACAAAGAAGTCAAAGATGCTTTGTTGATTTCCTCTTACTTAAGTGGCTTTGATATGATATAAGGGACCTGGTTCACTTGCCTAAAGCAGCATCTTACAATCAAATATTCTGCAACAATAGAAATCTTCCATAGCCCCTCTGGCCAATATAGCCATCAACAGCCACAGTTGACTATTTAGTAATTGCTATGTGGCTATTTGAGAAATAGACTTTTTAATAGTATTTTCAGTGGCTCCCTTACATCGCAGACCCAAGGGAGCCCCTGGCAGGACCAACCTCCATGCACCCGCGGAATGACCACTATCTCACCATTGTTGTTTCCTCCCTACTTATTGCTCTGCTTTTTGTTTCAGCTTTCCAACTTATTTGTCAATTACTCTCTATTTGGGCAACAAAAGTCAAATAAATGCAGCACATAGAATGCCATTTACACTGCATTTTCAATTGGCTTAACTAGGAACATTTTGTTCTTGCAAAATACTGGTGAGCAATTTCTACCTAAATTATCCTAGACTATATTTTCCCCCAACACCTCTATGATGGTAAAATGTTGATATAAGCAAATAACCTCTTTGGTTAGTATGCCAAATGCTCCAAAATCAACTGAAAAAGCCAAAAGGTTTAATTTCAACATCACTTTTCATTCCTTTAGTATACAGCATTAAGTGACAGGCTGAAGAAGAGCGGAGAGAAAAGCTGAAGAAAAATAACCGCGGACCCCTGCTTGTTCACACAAGCTTACTGAGCATTGTTGGGTACAGTCGTCACTGGCCGAGAGGGAAGAGCACTGCACTGTGAGTCGCAGACCTGCTAGGACAGCTCAATGCGTCTCAAAATGGGGGATCACATTCCCAGTCTGTATATAGTAAGGTTTTTGCAAGTTTCGGAGTAAACAATGTATACCTAACAGATGTATATGCAGTGGAAGTTATCCCCCACGGTGATTTTATAATCTCACCACTCTGAGTCTCAGTACATGCGGATAGGTACTCAGAGTACCCAGGCCTTACTTCCACAGTCATCACAACTACATCAGTTCTGTGAGGTCCCTGCAGTTCACTGAAATAGTAGTCTTGATGACATCGTTTTTCTAAGCAAGATTTCTTGCAGGAAGGTCTCTACTTCCACATTTGTTCTAGAATCTGGAAGTGCCATGTAGCCTCAGACCATGCATGGGCTGTGTATTGGTTGGATTCCAAATAAGATGAAAAGCAGGAGAAACTTACATTGCTTTGAAGAACATCATGTTAAGTGAAATAAGGTGTCCTCAGAAAAACAAATACTGTATTTTCCCCTCATTCGTGGAAGCTAAAAACTCCCCATTTGAATATAGAACAGTAGGAATAGAGGCTGGGTGTGAAAGGGAAGAGCAAAAGGAGGCTGAGAAATAAGTACACAAATTAGAAAGAATGTGTTTCTAGTATTACACAGCATCATAGCTTATTATAGTTCACAAAGATAAATTATGTATTTTCTGAGAAAGTGCGACAGGAGCCCCACAGCAGGAATTATAAATCACTAACAAAGAGAGCAAAATTAATTCTTCCATTTTGATCACTTCAGATTATCTACATGTACTGAAATGCCACACTAAACCCTATAAACATACATAGCAATAATAATTTGTTATTCAGAGATGTTTCTTAACCCAAGTTTTGGCACTCATGTTTTAAGTGGGGCAATGCCTCAAAGGGAATTTGGGAAATATAGTTTGTATATTTGGAATGTAATTTTGGATCTCTACTATCTTCCACTGGCCCCGCAAGTATCTCCTTCATCTTTTACATTATGCTAACTTCCCTTTTGGAGAAGGTGCAACTTTTTGTTTCTTTTTGTATTTCTAATATTAATGCCCAATAAAGATTTTATAAACTTGCAGTAAAATTTGTGTTCTGGTCTCTTCCATAAGTTAAGCCACTAACAGCAATTTCAGAACTAATAATTCAGCCAGGTTTCTTATTCTTCATAAATTACTATTATTTGGGATTAATAAATGATTGTTGTTCCAAAGAAGCACTTAAAAAAAAAAAATAAAAACAGCCCTTGCTGGAAAAGTTTAAGAATTAAGAAGCTTTAGTTTACAAATTGTCAATATTCAGTAGTCTGATGGATTCGGATGAATATTCTTACCACAATAATGCTAACTGAAAAGCAAGCTAGGCAGGCTTTTCAGAATTTCATCACATAGTCTGTACCTAGTTCCCACAGCAAGGCTCCCCTTACCGTTAAAGAAGTCATGCATTGAGTTTGTTTCCGACACCTGTTCTCTAACAGGGAAAGCAAAGCTGTAAGATGTCTACAATCTGGATTCAGAATTCGTATCTGTAAATGATACAATGAAGGTCGTCAGTGGAACATCCTGGGAAAAACAGTACCTGCCTTTGTGATTCAAACCTTCAGACTTGCGTACAGATCCCTCACCCAAGAGAAGTATGATTGAAATTACACATTCTCCATAGCATTATTATTGGCTAGTTTGAATAGAAGAATGTTGACAATATATGGGTGAAAATTGTGATCTACCAATTTTATTTTCAGTACGGACAAAGCCATCAGAAAATGACAGGCTACAAATTAATTATGCATGGACAATCTCATTGATTTATACCAGACTAAGTGATTGTTGTATTGAAAATATTCCTAAATGTGCTTTGATAGAGCATAATCGTTAAGAGTATATTATATAATGTATAGGAAGTTCAGAAGAAGTTGGCTATGCTTTCTGAATACTACTCCATTAAATGGATCTTGAACTATTACAGCCACAAATACAAATTATGCCCCAAAGGAATATTTCCAGTTTTCATTGCTTTGTGTCACAATCAAATCTGCCTAATAAGCTGTGATCTCCTTAAACGTATACCACTGTTTACTCTTTCCACCCACACATCTCTCTCCATTATGGGCAGACCTGGGCTTCAGTTTATTCTTCACTTGTTAATAAGAAACATCTCTGGGATTCAGTATTTCATTTTTGAAGTGAATATTTATAATACCTAATCCTTAATCTGCTGTTAGCATTGAAGTGTAAGATATCTGTGATAGGTACAGCTCTTACGGTTCAATTTATATTCAGCTAAACTCAGTGGAGATGCGGGAGGGTGAGATAGGAGAATAGAAGAATTTCTTCTGCTAAGCAGAAGCAAGAATTTACAACCCCGGTTGGAAGGAATGACACAAGATCATATTAATTGACACCGCTGTATATTTTTCGGTTCACCCCATATTTTGGGTCACGGGTAATTTTAAACTAGTTACCATAATCCTGCTAATTAGACACTCTGATTTCTAGTTTATCAAATCATGCCTTGTTATGTAAATTAATTCTTGATTTCTAAGAGAGTAACAACATTTGGGCACCACTTAGACGCCTGCATTACTGCGATTTGCAGGATCAAGAAGTTGGTATGTTATAGAATAGAACAAAGAGACATCTCAGTAGATGTCTCCTTGCTCATTGGATAATTTTAAGACCAATTTGTTACATCCAGGCGTCTGCTTTTTAGAAGAAGCCATGTAATGAAAAAAATTAGACTCAGCAACAACCCAGTCTCAATCCAAGAATCACCACTAACATTCCCTCGGTGACCAGCTCTCTCTACCCTAAGAAAGCCAAAAAGAAAAAAGAATCATTTCCATGTGGTACAAACAAGTAGGTCTGATGAACTTGAAGTCACTGTGTATTCCTGTGTATAATTTTTTCTTCCCAATTGCCAACGTAAATGCCCCCTTTTCTGGGATGTATCTGCTTTATCCAAGACCTGAGCAGTCAGGTGGGTTACTAGAAAACTATGAACAATGAGCTCATGGAACTCGTGGAGGTGCTAATTCCTAAGTGGCTTCCTGCCTAGAGAGGCACTGCCCCTTGCTACACAAGGGGGCCAAGGAAGGGACAAGGCTTTCTCTTCCCTGCAGACCATAGCAGGAGGTGCAGCATGCTTGTCTGTGCAAGGCAGGAACACAGAGCAACATTAGTACACTGCAGTCCACATCAAACTAATGCCATTTTTGTCATTTCTTTCTCCTACAGGACCCAAATAAATATGCCTTAGCCTAGGATTAATACATAATCAATTCAAGAAAAATCAAATGACTATCCAGGAAAGATTTAAAACTGGTATATGTAGACAAGTTTAACTCAGGAATCATTGCAACACAAATAGTTTTTTCTGCAAACATTTGCTGACCTCCTACTTTGTTGCATGTTTCATTCATCCTTGACTCAGGTTATTGCCTCTTGAGGTTCCCAAAGTTCAGTCCTGGGGAGAAACACAGAATTATAAAATTCTTATGCGTTAGTAAGTATGATAAACACAAACCCACTCAACTGACAACCAAGGAGAAGTGCATTTAGCAGAGTGCGTTGTCCTCAGAAATGTAGATGACAAGTTTACAAGACTCTAGACAGTACTTAGCTTGTGCTCGACTCTGAAATGCCATCTGGTCTTGGAATTTTTTTCCTGTAAGTAGAACAGAGCATAGCAATAAAAAAAAGTAAAACAAATCCTGATTTTTTTCCTACCTTCTAAACTGTTCCCTTGCATTGATTTATTCATTCATTTGTTCTTTTATCATCTAATATTTACATAATTCCTGTGCTATGCTAGGTACTCTGTAAAAAAGCATCAATAATAAAACCTATTGATTCTATTCTTGTGGGCCAAATGTGTCTTAGTCCGGTTTCTGCTGCTACAACAGAAAAAAAAAAAACTATTTAGAAGGAAAAAAAGTTTATTTGACTCATAATTTTAGAGGCAGGGAAGATCAAGATAAACTGAGAGCATCTGCTAAGAACCTTTGTGCTGTGCCATAACTTGGTAGAGGGTATCACATAGCATGAGGATACAAGAGCTAATGAGAAAAAATTTAGTTTTAGAAAGAAGCTACTCCCATGAGAACTAAGCTACTCCTAAGAGAGTGACCCGAATCCACTCCTGTAAGTGCAGCCTCATGACGGAAGCGACTCCCAACCTTGTAGCATTAGGAATGAACGTTTTTACACCTGATTTTCTGCGGTGCACATTGTCACCACAGCATTAGGATAGAAACTAATAATTATTAATTGGAAATGCTAACAAAACCCACAAACATGTTTTTGCAAATTACAATGTCTATACAGAGGAGGAACAATGCAAATAAATAAATAAATAAAGTGAACTGACTCTTAGACCTTAGCAGATACCTTCCCAGTAGATGTTTGAAGCATGAAGAGTAATTATTAAAAGTGGTAAGAGAAGTGGCAGGGAAAGCATTTCAAGGAAAAAAAAAAAATAAGTGTGCCAAAACCCTGAATTGGGAAAAACAGCAAACTCGAGCTATTGAAAAGTGGCCAGTCACAGTACAGTTGTAGCTTGGTGAGGATGAGTCAACACCCAAGTTCTCATGCAAACTCACACTCATTTTCAGATGTTCTTTATTTAGCCAAAGTGAGCATACTACCAGAGTTCCTAAAACAGTAAGCTACCGACAGCTGTAGGACAAGGGGAAACCAGGTAAAGTGACTGGCATCCCACTGCCTTTCTCTCCTCCCGATTCTTCCGGAGGCACGCTGGAGCAGGGATCTCCATTCAGCACTTAGTTTTGCTGTTTCTACAAGAACAGGCACACATCCTGTCTGCGCTTTGTCATCTGAAACGCAACTGCTGTGTGTCAGGCAGTGTCCATGAAGTCTGCATCCTCCAGTTGTGGCTGACATCACATGAGCCGGAGTCTTGCTCTGCTCCTCCCCAAGTTTGGGAGGCTTCCGTTTTCCCTCAGAGGAAACATAGCATTCCTGCTGATGGTTCTCAAGCCACCAGATGGACCGCCTTCTCTTCAGCATCTCCCATTATCCTCCCTCACTCTATTTGACCACCCTGGCTCCACTGGATCCTGAATTTGCCAGCAAAGTAGCATCTCAAAGCCTTTGTGCCTGCACCTGCCTCTGACTGGTAGCAGTTTGCTGAGACAAGCTGGATGCTCAGTGCCTTGCATCCTCCAAACTTGTCCTGTTGAAGTTACACCTCACCCTGTCCGTCTCCAAGCCTGCTGTGTTTCCTGATTGTATGTATCCTCTAATAAACTACAAATTGCCCTGAAGCACTAGGAAGGCAGGGATCTTTGTTCTGTTCACTGCTGAGTCTCTAGTTTCCAAAACCAAGCCTTCAGAAATATTTGTTTGAACAAGTTATTGTTTAATCCTCACAAAGAAGCATGCGAGAATTAGCTAAAAGTAATGGTAAACTAGCTCTCATAAAGAAACAGAAATCATCTCATTGATAAAATATTGTTTTGGTGAATACAGCAAATAAACATCAAAGAAAATGGGGTATGAACCCATTTAGATAGTTCTGTTTCATGAAATAGTTGCATCAATTGTTTTAAGTAGTAATTTTTCTTGATGACTCATGTTATTTGTCATATAGTAATATGAGAGTACTTCCAAAGGTGTGAGGAAAAGTAAAAGTTAAGTTTATTAGGGGTATAATTTTTGAGATCCATGCATACCTGTCATATGTGTTTTCCAGGAATATTTTGAAGACTGTCCTATATGTATATCCATTCATTATACTTCAATCTGAAATTCAAGAACAAAATATGAAGAGGTTCTGTGTAAGATTCAATTTTCTTCCCCAAACTGGCACTTCTAGCAGCTCTGGTGTTCTTTAAGACCATACATTTTCATGAACGATATATTTAGAGTATAACAAGAAACTGCTGAAAGAATGTTTTATGATTATTTGAACTTGATACCTCAGTCACAGCCTCTCAGGCTGAACAGTGACAGCCATCCCATGGCACTGGATGGATCCTTTCTGGCTCCAGTCAGATCAAGCTGGCTCCCAGAGTGCTCTTCCAGAACATGACAGGAGAGGCCAAGATGGCCGTCTAGGCAGCCAGGCTGTGCTAGTGAGTGCGACCAGCTGGAATCTTGAGTCTGTGGAGAGGGGAGCAGAGTGACCCATTCAGAGAAGAAATCACCCTTACATTAGTGTTTGGGAGTGCTTTTGGTAAAGGATTTCCTAACTTGCTCACTTTCTCTGAACTTAACAAAAATATGCCGGGGATGAAGGCACTGGTGTTTAGACCAAGAGGAAGAAGTGCATGATTGGAGTGGTCTTATTGGACCCATATATTCTTTCAAAACCTTTACAGGGCTATAGCAGAATGAAAAAAAAAATGAGTTGATACCATTCTCATACTAGCATTTCTTTACAGCCTGAGCAAAACCCTAACAATGTGATGCTTTTTCTTTGTGCATAAAGCTCCCCTCCAGAGATTCAAATATTCTGGCAGCTCCGGAATACTTACCTGCGAAAGATCCCCAAGAACATGCATTGCTCAATGCCTTACATGACGTAATCCCGGGGCATGTATCTATTGATTGGTGGCCAAATGAATAAACATCCCTCTACTAGTAAACATTGTTGTGAGAAGCAACAAATGAAGCTTTGGGATGTTATCATTTGTAACTTGACTTTCCTAAAGTCTTTTGCTTCAAAAGTCCTTAAAGAGATGAAGCACTACAATGCATTTCTAGAAATGAAACAATAATTTCATTGGCAGATTACTAAATTTAATTTACACCATAATTCCTAATCTTACAGAAAGGTTACAATTATGATGAGACAAAGTTAGTTTTGTTCAAAAATCATCTGTTTCCTGGTTTTAGTTTTGTTTAAAATACAGTAACATTTGTATAGTTTCCCCACTCTACTTCCTGTCTCACCTCTTATGTCCTCTGCTCCTCTATCAAGTATGAAGGTCACACTTTGAAGTTCTGGTGAAGATCAGGGAGAAATAATTTTTGTCCAGCTGTCTGGTGTCCGGTGACCTTTCAACAAATATTTAATACCTCCAGAAAGCTTATTGTCTCCACTGGCAAGGTGACAGGAAACAAGTCTGCCCAACCTACCACAACACAGAGCCTACTGAAACAGAATTCAAATGCAAAACGCTAGCACAGAATATAGCCTGGAATCTCTTTATGCATCCACAGTGACCCCAGGAGCGCCTTCTCCCTGCTTCTCATTGGCAGGTGTAGGAATTCTGAAAGCATGTACCGTAAGCGGGAGTCGGAGGTACTGAAGTTCTGACCCCACACGCTCAAGAGGCGCAACCACTGGGGGTTTGTGAGATCCTAACTCTGACAAAAAGGGATTATTCCAGAAAACTTGGTTCTGAAATTCTCACCCTCTCTGGGATACCCAGCTTTCTTTATACCAAAAGGGAGAAGATAAAGAGGCCAAATTGTGCCCTGTCCAAATTTAGGAGTTCTAACCGCATCCTCATTTCCCAAATTTTGAATTACCTCAAAATGTGACTATTTAGAGATAAAATATCTAAAGAGATAATTAAGTTAAAATTAAGTCATCCGAGTGGGCTCTAATTCAGCATCTCTTGTATCCCAGTAGGAAGAGGGAATTTTTGACCAGGACAGATAGAATGAAGACCAGAGGGAGACAAAGGGAGGAGAAAGTAACCTACCAATAAAGAAGAGAGGACTCGGGCCCAGAGTGGTGGCCTAGTGGCTAAAGTCCTCACCCTTTATGCGCCAGGATCCCCTGTGGACACAGGTTCTAATCCTGGCAGCTCCATTTCCCATCCAGCTCCCTGCTTGTGGCCTGGGAAAGCAGTCGAGGACAGCCCAAAGCCTTGGAACCCTACACCTGTGTGGGAGACTTGGAGAAAGTTCCGGGATCCTGGCTTTAGATCAGCGCAGCACCAGCTATTGTGGTCACTTGGGGAGTGAATCATCGGACGGAAGGTCTTTCTCTCTTTCCTCCTCTCTGTATATCTGACTTTCCAATAAAAATAAAAATAAATAAATCCTTTAAAAAAGAGAGAGGTCTGCAAATAGATCGCTTTTGATACACAGTGATGTTGGGCCCTAGCTTTCAGGACTGTCTGGCCTAGCCCTGCATATTTCAGCCATTTAGCAAGTGAACCAAATGATGGAAGATCAATATTTTTTTCTCACTCACTCTGTTTAAGAAATAAATCACACAGACACTCACTCTCTCTCTTGCTTTCCTTCCCCAAGCATCATCGTCTAAGTTTGGCTTATGATGTGGGATAAGTGGAAAATACTTCAATCTCACCTCTGCAATGGACTAGCCAGATGATCCTAAACAAGTCATTTGGCTACAGCGATGTAGCCTCACCTGTAAAACCGGGACAGTAATACCAGATTTCAGGTGATTATTAAGAATAAATGAGATAGGGCCTAGCAGCGTGGCCTAGCAGCTAAAGTCCTAGCCTTGAATTCGCCGGGATCCCATATGGGCGCCGGTTCTAATCCTGGTGGCCCTGCTTCCCATCCAGCTCCCTGCTTGTGGCCTGGGAAAGCAGTGGAGGACGGCCCAAACCTTTGGGACCTGCGCCCATGTGGGAGACCCGGAAGAGGCTTCCTGGATCCTGGCTTCGGATCGGCATAGCACCAGCTGTTGCAGTCACTTGGGGAGTGAATCATCAGACGGAAGATCTTCCTCTCTGTCTCTCCTCCTCTCTGTATATCTGACTTTCCAATAAATAAGTAAATCTTGAAAAAAAAAAAAGAATAAATGAGATAGAGCACTTAATAATCAGTCATTCTGCATACTGACCAATTTTATCATTACTACTATTAAAAACAATTACATAAATGAACTTTATATTCTAGAATCACTACTCTATCAGTTACAAAAATGGAAACATACTGCAATTCGCAAGGTATAAATCCTTTCTTGAAGATTTTTTTTAACATCTACTAGAAAGTCAGATTTACAGAGGACAGAGAAAGGTCTTCCACCTACTGATTCACTCCCCAAGTAGCACAACAGCCAGCCAAGCCAAAGCCAGGAGTCAAGAGCTTCTTCTAGGTCTCCTATGTGGTTGCAGGGTCCTCAGCTGCTTTCCCTGACCACAAACAGAAAACCAGAAGGGAAGTGGAGCAGCTGGGACATGAGCTGGCGCCCTTATGGGATCCTAGTGCGTGCCAGGTGAGGACGTTAGCCACTAGGCCACCATGCCAGGACCTAACAAGCTGTAAATGTTGAGAATACATGGCACCACCTTGGAACAATTACCCTGAAGCCACCTCCTCTGAGAAAAGTTTGTACCCACTTTATGTCCCCTTCCTCTTCTTGCTCACACTGCAGAGGTATTGGTTTGCCCCTGGTGTTTTGGTCAATCTGCTGGAAAGCACTGTTAGAATGCACTTAGCATGTTAGTCTTCAGCTAAGCCATGAGCTTTCAAAGGGCTAGAGGTAGAGTTTACTCAGCGTGTGCCTCCATGTTCACTGCTTTGAATGACATCACTGGCTGCCAATGGTGTCACCTGAAAACAAGGAGTGAGACAGACAAATTACAGCAGTTGAGCCTGAGAACTTCACAATCTTGTTAAAAATTCATCTTCTGGCTTCATTCTCTGAGCCTGACTCTGCCAGGCAGTGTGAAGTCTAGATCCTCTCATGAGTCCCTGCACATCTGGAACAGGTGTCCGCCAGCTCAGCAATTCCATGAGTACAAGAGAACAAAGTCATATTTAAATGTGCCCATAGCTCCCATTTCAACTCTTTAGGCTTTACACTCTTTCTTCCATTGTAACAATGACTTTGTACCGAGAATCACTTGGCCTTTGTTGAGGGAGTATTTTAGCACTCAAATTAGTTCAGTGTTGGACAAAGAGTTTCATGAAATTTTCAGGACCCACAATTCAGCCTTTCTTATGCAGATGTTGTAAAATGCTCTATCAAGTATTACCTACACTATTGCAAGTTCAAAACAGTCTTTCTGAAAGGCTTAGGAAACTTAGCAGACCTCTGACCCATAAATCACCTGTATCAAGTCTTGTCCCCTTCTTAGTAACAGTATACTGCCTCTAATCTAAATATCAATATTAAAAGCTCCTATAATGCTTGTAAAACAAATCAAAATGGCTGTTTTAAGGATGTATTATCCACTGGAAAAGGCATGCATTAGAAAAGTCTTAGGTTTTCAAAGAGATTTTTAATTTAGCTATTTTGCAGCCTCTGAATTATGCAACATTTTTTTTTCTTCCCTGAGCCTGTGTCGCTGAAGGGTATAGATCCACCTCAAGCCTGTTGGAGAAGGATTCTGTGGTCACTGGGAAGGAATGGAAGCAGCAAACAAGGTGGGGTATAGAACCTGCACAGTTCTGACCAATCAGGGAAGGGGATTGCTTAAATTTACTTTCCCTGTGGAAAGGTGCAGGAGAAAAGAAACTGGGCACCCTTCCAACCTGAATTGAATTGCTGGCAAGCTCTGATTAATTATTCAGGGGAACCCTAGTTGAAAATCCAACATAAACATGCTACTTCAGCAAGTGTAAATGGAAAGAATAATTTCTATAATGTATCTGTAACAGTGTCTGTGAAGGAAGCACCAGCCCACTCTAAACACTAGACAGACGTCATTCAAACCTGTGAACCGTCACTCCTCCTCCACAGTTAAGGGAGGATCTTCGCCCCTTTGGCCCTGGTGTGTTCAGGGTTGTTTGTCACCATGCTTGGATCTTCTAATGGAGCAAGAATCCTCAAGACACACTAAGTTTATCCTTAAATGTGTGTTCTTCCCCAAGATTGTCCTTTGAAGAGCTAGAAAGGTCCACGTTAGCCTGTTAGTCTCTAGATGAAACATGTACTGCCAGTTCTCATATTTATGCCAATACTATTAACAATCACTATTTTTTCTTCCTTGAAAATTTTGAAACCTATCCCATTTGAGAATGATCTATAGAGTACCCAGCATTTCATGTAAGCAAACTCTCCATACAAGTTAAGACCTGAATGTGCTCGAGAAGCTCCTCT